GATGTCAGCGTGGGAGACTTGTTCAAGGACCTCACAGTCAACATGACTATGACTGATCCCGCTGAAATAGCAGAGGATGAGCAGGTCCTACTTTATGATGAAGCATGGGACCGCTATGTCAGTGCTCAATGGAACGGTCACTTCAAACAGCGCGAACCACCCACTGAGGATGAAATCCTCCAGATAAACATGGGTGGTGAGGCCAACCCCGAGCCCATATTCATCAGTGATAGCTTACCTCCCCAGGAGAAGGAAGACTTCATATCCCTCATACGAGAATATGATGTTTTCACATGGAATTATGTGGACATGCCCGACCTTGACCCTTAGATCGCCACGCATCGCCTCAACATTAGCTTAGACAACAAACCCGTCAAACAACGACAGACATAGTTCCGTCCACAAATCATGGAGGTGATCAAAGCTGAAGTAAAGAAGTTGATCAAGTCCGACTTCATCAGAGAGGAACAACAACCTGATTGGGTGACTAATATTATTCCAGTCCTGAAGAAGAATAGCAAGATCCATATCTGCATTGACTTTAGGGACCTCAACGCCGCTTGTCCAAAGGATGAGTTTCCTTTACCCATCATAGATGTCATCATCGACAACATATGCGGGTTTGAAAGAATGTCCTTTATGGATGGGTTCTCGGGGTACAATCAGATCAAGATGCACCCTAATGATGAGAAGCATACCTAATTCAAAACTCCGGTCGGGGTGTACTGCTACATAGTTATGCCTTTCAAACTCAAAAACACCGACGTGGCCTATCAACGTGCCATGAGCCTTTGAGTTGTTCTGTAAGTTGGAGCCAGGCTCTATCACATCATGGGCCAATGCGGAAAGACTCTTCTTGGCCTACTTCTTCGATGATGACACAGAAGTATCGATAGCCACCCTCATTGTGGAAAAGCAAAGGAAATTAGAGCCAGTCAACGATTTCGTGAAGAGATTCAGGAATCAGTCGGTTCATTGCTGGGACCAGGTCTTCAAAGCTACCCTAATCGAGATGTGTCGCAATAATTTCTCGATCAACATGTTGTCCAAGGTTGGCACGGTGGAAACCCGAACCTGGAAAGAACTTATTCGCCAAGGCGAGCAGGTAGAGAACATGATCAAGAAGCTGGAGGCTGAAGAGCCTCACCCCAAAAAGGGAGCCTCAGAACCAAGCGTGCCCAGAAATCCTCCTCGATCAAGAGGAAAGGAGATAATGGCTGTTGATTCTGCTTCGGCTCCCAAACCAACCTAGAGGCCGAAACCTAGGTCGTTTGAACAATGCCCTTTGAACTTGATTTGCATGGCTTCAACCACTATTCCGCCAACCTCCATTTGATATGATCGTTATGGCGTAATTCCATCCATCCTCCAACGCGTTGTTTGTCTACAATAAATAGAAAAGCACAAACACTAGACAAACAACATTAGTAGTAAATTGTTTGTTAGACATCATCAAAACAAATAGGCCAACAATCTCCCCCTTTTTGATGATGATAAATAATTTACAAAAAGGATATATACATGAAAAGGAAATGAAATACAATATTATAATTATCATGCATATAAACAAAAAGAATATACTCACAATATTTCTCCCCCTTTGACAACATCAAGGGGACAAAATGATGAAGAGAGCGAAAGCTCCCCCTACATATAAGCATGGGTGAGTATAAAACAAAATAGGGATTGCTCCCCCTATCAAAATGCCAAATAGAATATATGAAATGAAGTACTAAGGCAATCATATGTGAGAAGGCATAGATGAATATGCTAAATATCACGCACATACAAGAGGATAATGAGGACACATATAGATATATCATTTATGAAAGAAGTGTCTCATTACACAATTATAAAAACAGATATATCATTTATGAAAGAAGTGTCTCATTACACAATTATAAAAACATAGTGTAAAAAATAGATTTATAAAATCAAAAGAAGAGGAACATGAGAATCATGCAAAAAGTTTTCAAATGAAAATAAATTAACCAAATAAAATCAAAAATCAAATTTTAAGCCCAAAAATAATGTTTGATCAATAAAGGAAAATTTCTTTGTAAAACTTGATCAAACCACATAAAGAATATATTATAAAAGCATATTTGAAATTTGAATCATCTATTTGTGCTTATATAATGAATTCAAAGCAATAACTCAAAACAAAATTTTTAACAAAATGCAACAGAGGCAACAATATATCAAGCTCTTAGGCTTGTTCTAACCCATATAAGGACTTATAGTACCCGGTAAACAAGATTTGAGAATAAACACCCAATAAATCCGGGGTGTTATATATACACAAACCTCTCATCAAAACAAAAACCAATAATTATGAAAACAAAAGAATTTGACCAATAAAAAGAATTGTTTTCATGTTCAAAAAATTAAAGTATAATTTTCAAAACCAAGAAAAAAAAGAAAAACACTAAAATACTTGGTTTAAAAAGATTTTGGCACCTAAGCATTCTTGGTACTAGATTGGTTAGGGACATGACCCCTATCATTCAAGCTCAAATCCCTAGGGTTATGAACCTTCTTGGGCGCATGTGGTGCACGTACACGATCATAACAAAAATTACTCAAATGACCCTTCCGATTGCAATAAGTACAATGGAAAGGAGGTATTTGCTTATGTTGACCAAACGGTTGTGCACGGGACTCATTTGCAAAAATAGGTTTATCTTGGAAATTATTTTGCAAACGAGAAACTCTCCTCAAATCAAAACAAAATTTGGTCAAATGACCAAAATGATCACAATAATCACACTTAAACTTCTGTGGTCTTTTAAAATTATTTGCCAAATGTGAAATCTTTTTTTAAATCAAAGCAAAACTTTACAAAATGGCCAAATCGACCACATAGATCATATTTAAACACATGTGCATGTTTATGATGAGCATGATGAGTTTGTGCATGTACATGTGCATATGATGAAGAAGCCTTATGAGATGCACAAGAAGCATTAGTCTTAGAAGATTTGTGTGCATCATAGCAAAATTTAGCAATATGGCCTTTACGACCGCAAATTAAACATTTGTAAATTTTTCTATAAATATGTGCATAGTGAGTGTTGGATTTGAAAGAATTAACACGAGACTTTGCACATAAGTCCATAAGTTTCTTATTATTAACAATGCATGTTTTAAGAGTTGAATCTAAAGATGAAATGCGATTTTTAATAATATTCAACTCATCATTAGACATATGTGCACTAATATTAGAAGTAGAACATAAATATTCATTTATAAAAGAAGCTATATTATTTTTTATGTTCTCTACTTCTAACATGGCATCAATCTTAGCATAAGATTGGCTAGCAATTGATGAGATCAAATTTTTATTTTTCAAATTTAATAAGTTATTGTTTTCTTTAAGCATATTTTTTTTTTTTTTGTAATGACATCAAATTTGGAAGCTAGCTTCTCATGATCGGATTTTAAATTATCATGCTTGCCTTGTAAATTAATAAAATCTTTATGCAATTTGTTAAAGACATGCAATAATTTTTTATTAGCACAAGCAAATTCATCACTAGATAAATCATTAATCTATTCGAACTCGCAAACCTCACTAGGACTATCACCTAGTGGTCGTGTGCATGATGCTCCATATGAACTTGAAGCGGATTTCGATGATTTTTTAAGGATTCTTTCGTCCCAGGACCTCCCCAATTGTTTTGAGGTTATCCCTAAATGCGTTTAAGCGGTTATTAACCACAAATAACGTTTAAACACCAATTCTTATCCAAAAGGACATCTCCAAGGCCTATAAATAGAAGCCTAGGGTCTTCTTTCAAGAGGATCTAAAGTTGAGAATGCGAGGTGCTGTCAAATTGTCCAGCTAACCACGAATTTCAGAGGAGAATCATCAGATCTTGGCGAATACTTTCATAAAGAAAATCCTTCGAAAGGTTTGTGATTCTTTCCCCTTCTTTCCTCCGGATTAAACTTGGTTTTAATCTCGAGAAGAGCCACAATCTCGCTTGGTCGTGATTGTCGCGTTCACAATTGTTTCCTTTGTGAAACAAGAGCGTAGTTATACTGTTAATCGGGTCTGATCTGCAATGGTCCACGGACTAACGCGTCCCCGGTACAGGCAAAGATCCCACGCAAAGCAGCGGGAGATAAACTACTGATGTGTTTTGTTTGATAAAGTTGTAATCTTAATTTTTCATTGTAAGAAGATCTTGTAAAAAGATCAACTTTTCTTCCAGTTTGAACTTGTAATCGATAAACGGTGTAACAGGTTTGAAAGCAATGGAAAAGGCAACTTTTGACAAAAACACACCTATTTTTACCTTGCCCTCTAACTCATCGTCTGATCTTCCTACACATGTCCACCCCATGTGAAGTAGATCTAATTTTGGTATTTAGAGACATTCTTTCATTAAGCTCTTTATCAATGGAAATTGAACCAACTAATTTTGTTGTTGCTGCTAAACAGACTAAATGGCAATGTACAATAGCTTCTTTTGATGAATAGAAAAACTTGTCAGCTGTAAGACTATCTCCATCAGGAGTCGAAATTTTAACCTTCTCTCTCCTGCCACATCATTTTATTCCCCCTCCACATAATTCAACAATCTTTATTTTCTATCATCTCTACAGCAGGAGTTTTTTCAAAAGATTTTTACTTTATTTGGGACCCACTATAACCCCATCACTCCAACATATATACCCCACCTTATTTATTCATTTCTTTTTCTTATTTCATATATATTACTACTACTACTATTATTATTACTAATATAACTCATTTATTTTGTGAAGGATCCATTTGAAAAGGTTTGAAGAATATAGAAGCAAAAGCAAAGAGAAGGAGAATAAGGTGTTGAAAACTCAGATTTTTTTTTGTCTCCAAATTACACAAGACTACTCTCTATTTATAGAGGTGAAAAAATAAAAATTATTGATATAAAAATTATAAATTAATTCCTAGTATTTATCTCCCAAAATATCATTTAAAAGTTAGGAGTAAAACAAAAAAACCCAACCAATCAAGCCTTGACACATGGCTTCCACGTTCGAGCTGGTTGGCGGACAATAGCAAACCGTGCTTGGAGAACCCCGAATGCGCGCTCCACGTCCTTCCTGCATGACTCCTGTTGTTTGGCAAAACATTGTTGTTTGGATCCCTGGGGCATTTGAATTGACTGGACGAAGACAGGCCATTTTGGGTAGATTCCGTCAGCAAGATAGTATGCAATATTGTACCGCCGTCCATTAACAGTGAAGTTTACCCTTGGAGCTTCACCAGACTCAATGTCATAAAAAACGGGTGACCTATCTAGTACATTTATGTCGTTCAAACTACCAGGAAGCCCAAAAAAAACATGCCATATCCACAAATCATATGACGCAACTACCTCGAGAATAACTATTGCTGTGCCCTTGTGTCCACTAGTAAACTGCCCTTGCCAAGCCTTTGGACAATTTTTCCACTGCCAATGCATGCAATCGATACTTCCAATCATCCCTGGGAAACCACGCTCTTGTCCAACTTGGATTAACCTCTGCAAGTCTTGCACATTGGGTCGTCTTAAGTATTCATCTTGAAACAAGGCTATTACCCCTTCGCAAAACCTCTGAGTACACTCAACCACAGTAGATTCTCCTATCTTCACGTACTCATCACAAGCATCAGCTGCTACTCCATATGCGAGCATGCGTAGGGCAGCAGTACACTTTTGGATAGGGGTTAAACCAAGCTTGCCCGCATTATTACGACATTGTGTGAAGTAAACGTCGAAATTTGACATAGAATCCACAATTCGTAGAAAGAGAGGCCTATTCATTCGATACCTTAGTCGAAATTGGGCATCAGTGTATGTGCATGATTCAGCAAAGTAGTCGGCCATGAGCCTCTCATGCGCTGCATGATGATCTCTATATATGGACTTTCTCTTGCGCGGTTGTTCTTCTCTCCTAAGCAACTCTTCAAGCAGTTCTTGTTGCCTATCAAACATTTTATCTTCTAACTCCCATTCTTGTTGGAAGTATTCGAGATTGAATTCATTTAGGTTTGGATCCATTGGAGGGTATGTAGAAAAAATGTTGATAGGTATACTCCAAGTTGTGCATTTGGTCAGCATTTATAATGAAAACCTTTGTTCAAAAACATGCAATTGCAACGACATGTGGCGTATGGCATGCATTGCAGGGAGTTGTCAATTCATGCCTTGTCTTTAATTGCAGAGACTTGTCAATTCATGCCTTGTCTTTAATTACAGAGAATTGTCAATTCATGCCTTGTCTTTAATTGGATAGAGTGGTCAATTCAACCCTTCGTCTTTAATTACAGGGAGTTGTCAATTCATACCAGAGAGTTGTCAATTCATACATTTTTTAACTTTAATTGCAGAGACTTGTCAATTCAATTGGAGAGGGAGTAGTCATTTCAATTGGATTTATTCAAATAAAAAACAACGATTTTATTCAACACTCCAATTTCAACACACGAAACACTTAAAAAAACACTTAAAAACACATAAACAAACTAACAGACAAACAACAACTTCTTCATTTGCCAAACAGTTCTTTCCTCAACAACTGATATGCTTCTTCATCTTCATCGTCACGATCTGGTTTGTTTTTCAAAAATCTCCACGTCTCCATGTTCTTGGCACGAGCGAGGACATTCATAGCTTCAACAGTACTTGCTCTATTCGCTTCCGCCTTTTCACGAGAGGTGACTATATTGGATAACTCATCGAGAAGTTCGACCTTCGATTTTCCTTGGTTTACTAGACGAAGCTCTAGCTTTCTTCTTTGTCGTGTCCCTACCCTCAAGACGTACGAGGGTAGGAGCGGAGGATTCAACATCTTCACTACTACTCTTTCTTTTCGAACCGCTACTACCCGATACTGCTACTCCTGGCATATATTTTGGTTGATTGCGAACAACCTTCCACTCATCCACCAAATTAAACGATGTACCCATTTTCTCAAAGTACAACTCCCTGCCTTTGGATATGTAGTTTTCATCAGACAAACCACTTTGCTTCTCTCTACATGCAGTACTGTAACAGCCAATGAAACTGCAAATTTTTCTGTTGATGTCTTCGTAATGACTCTGGCTCCGAGCTATAGTCCTCTCTTTTCCACTCTTGCCATTCTCATTCACATACTGTGTAATTTTACCCCAGAAAGTTTCACTTTTTTGGTTGTTCCCCAGCTCACTATCATTACTAGCGTGAAAATAAGCAGTTAGCAGAATTATGTTGTCTAGCGTGAAAATAAGCAGTTAGCAGAATTATGTTGTCTTCTGTGCTCCAACTATCGTAACTTGATCTCTTCGTTGGTTGTTGGGTTGGAGGTAGAAAACTATGAGGAGTATCCCCACCAACATTTCCCAAAGAGATCTGGGTGAAAAAATCCGGGATTTCTGTAGATCCGATTCTGAACGGGGGTGTCGGTGGCTCAATCGACTCCGTGGTAGGAAAATTCATATGGGATGGAACATAGCTGCTTCCCGCAGCTGGATGATAACCGTAAGGAAGATAAGGGTATTGCATGCCAAAATTTGGTGGCATCATATACGGCATTTGAAAATTGGGTTGCATACCAGCATTTTGAGTATTTTCCGAGGCTTGCATATTTGGATTTTGAGGGTTGGTATTTTGAGGCTGGTTAGGAAAGTTGTAGGAGAAATTAAGGGCCTGTTCGTTTGGCCAAAAAAACTGGGAAATCAAACTTTAGAAAACCTATTTTCTATTATAATTACTTTGAAGTTGTTTGGTTGGTTAAAAAAAAAGGAAATTATAGAATAGGAGATGAGATGAGATGAGTTGTCACCTTATTATTGGATGATGTGAGTGATTTTTTTAAAAACTTGTTTTGAGGTTGTTTGGTTGGTTAAAAAAATAAGGAAATGAATTGGAGGTATATTATTGGATGATGTTTTGAGATTGTTTGTGTTTGGTTCGTTTTTAAAAATAAGAAAATAGATGAGATGAGATGAGTTGGAGGTATATTATTGGATGATGTGACACATACTTAAGGAAATCAATTTCTTTTTTTTTTGAGGAAATGGATGGAAAGGAAGGTTTAATGAGATGAGATGAGTTGTCACAATATTATTGGATGATGTGTGTAATTTTTAAAAATGAGATAAAATAAGATGTGATGAGTTGGATGATGTGACACATTTCTTGTGTTTGGTTTATTTTTAAAGGTAAGAAAGGAGATGAAATGAGATGAGTTGGAGGATAAAAATAATATTTTATTAGATGTTGTGGGTGAGTTTTAGGGATAGAAATGGATAAAAATATTATTTTATTAGTTCCCTTGTACCGATTTCCTTTTTTTAGTTTTTAGGAAACCAACCAAACAACCCCTAATTGGAATGAGCAAGTGCGATGGATTCCAACGAGCAGCCAACAGCCAACTAAAAAAACATTTTTCAATACGAGGACGTCGAGGAGAATGGTGAGCAGAACTCTTATTGATAAACCTCCTTGAGTTCTATCATTGTAGATAACCCCCCCCCCCCTCCCCCCCGATCTCTACCTGCTGGAGCAAAAAAAACCCCCCAATCTCCACCTGCTGGAGATAGTCTAAGTGGATTTATAAGATAAAATACAAATCGATGGTCTATTTAAGAGGTACAAAGCTCGTTTGGTTGCATAAGGCTTTCATCATCAAGTTGGTATCAATGTCCATGAGACCTTCAATCTAGTTGTTAAACCAACAACCGTTTGTATTGTCTTATCTTTAGCTATTTTTTTTGGTTGGATAGTTCATCAATTAGATGTTAAAAAACCCTTTTTACTTTTTGCATGGAGTTCTCACTGAGGAAACTCATATGAAACAACCTCCTAATTTTATTCATCCAAAATTTGCTCTGCGTGTCTATAAACTCAACAAAGCCATTTGTGGTCTGAAATAAGCATCTCATGCATGGTTTCATAGGTTTAGTAGTTTTCTTCTATCTCTTGGTTTTCGTTGTAATCAAACTGATAACTCTATGTTTATACATCATACGTGTTCACATATACTCGTTCTCCTTGTATATGTTGACGACATCATTCTAACCGGGACCTCAGCCATTAATATTCACAAATTCATTTGCACTCTCTCAATGCAACTTGCAATGAGAGATCTTGGAGGCATTCATTATTTTTAAGAGTACAATTTCACAAAACTCCTAATAGTATCTTCTTATCTCAACACAAATATGTTCAAGATCTGTTATCCAAATCCAAATTTCACCTTCACACTTTGAAATCTGTGCATATTCTGATTGTGGCAAGAACCACCTTATCCATTATACATGGGGAACTACTACTATATTCCTCCGAATATAGAAGCATGGTAGGTGCTTTATAGTTTCTTAATATCATGAGGTCTGATATTACCTTTGTGGTTCATGCAGTTTCTCAATTTATGCATGCTCTTCATATTACTTGTCTATGTGCTATTAAATGGATTATAGCTATTTGCGAGGTACCAAAGATCATGGACTCTTCCTTCGACTATCCACAGATACTACTATACTTATTGCTTATTTTGATGCTACCCGGTTTGGGTGTCTTGACAGTTCTTGCTCCACAACAGGGCAATATTTCTTGGTCCTAATTTTGTTTCATAGCACTCAAAAAACCCACAGTATCAAAATCATCCACTAATGCTGAATATCTACTTTGGCATACACATTTGCTGAATAGATATGGATTCGTTCTATTCTAGCTGAATTGTTCTCAAACAACCCATGAAGCTTCTTTGTGACAATGTAAGTGCTACTTACAATACTGAAATCCAATGTTTCATGATCGAAACAAACACATCAAGGTCGATTACCACTTTGTTTGTGTGGGAGAGAGAAACCACTTTGTGTGTGTGTGTGTGTGTGTGTGTGTGTGAGAGAGAGAGAGAGAGAGAGTAGCACATGGTGACATCCTTGTCTGATATGTTCCCACTCAGCAACAACTTACTGTTAGGACTCATGTTAATGAGCCTACTATATAATCTTTTTTTGATAATTTACAAACAATCCCTAATATCGTTTGTCTAGTGTTTGTATTTGCATATTAGGTAATCTAGACAAATAACACAGTTGGAGGTTTGTTGGACTTATGCTTTCATGATCACATCCAATGGAGGTTGGCAAAAAAGTGGAATGAAGTTATTTACTATTTAAAGTCAAATTGCACTTCCAAGCTTCATCCGCAACCAAGACGAGCTTTTTTGAAGATCAATTCCTTGGGTATAATGTTTTAGTGTTATACTTTGTGTGGTTATACTTAAAGCTCAAATTATTCATACACACACACATATTGTTTAATATATTGTGTTTTTGGATTATAGACAAAATAACAATATTTTACATCATTCCTAAAAGTTTATCAATCCATTAGAAAGTTTTTCAAAGTGTGCTTAAAATAGCCTTTATCAAAATTAAGTTTTTATCATTTTCATGCTTTCAAGTTTAGCCACATAAATATGAAACAAATGAATATAATCATATATACACATATTCGTTTCATGTTTATATGTGCTTTCATTAATTAAGATGTTTGAATTAAATGAAATCATGTTTATTGCATAACATATGTGTATTTTGATAAAACTTTATGTTCTTGGTTTATGAACTTGATAATACTAGTTTATACTTTTTTTCCTAAGTCTATAAAGCCATACAAAAATTTTCAAACTTTAGTTTAAGTCAAAATGACAAAAACAAGTGTATTGTGTTTTTATGTTTTGGACTATTTTACAAAATGATGAGTTTTCACAAATGAGAAATGAAATTTGAAAAATTCTTTTTGAAACATGTTTATTTTCATGTTTATAAACATTTTCCAAAGTTTTAAATTTTTTAGAATTTATTTACTATTTTTAAGGCACTTCCAATTCAATGTTCTGAAAATTACATATATCGGTATTTGGTCGACCGAACAAGTCCTTCTGGTCGACCGACCATCAGTTTTCGGTCGACCGAAAAGGTTCTGCTGATCGACCGACCAGAAAGTATTTTTTAGCATTTGTTTCTCAGGGTTCCTCAGTCGACCGACAATCTTGTTTCGGTCAACCA